GGTTTCATTGCTTGTTGTTTTGTCAAGCAGTTAATTTTAATATAGTTGGGATGCTTCAAATGGATCTGCAATGCTTACAGATTCATGCTAATCATTCTGTTATCCCTAATGCTGACTGATAGGGTTTGAATGCTATGTGCCGTCTGTTGTCTCATATGGAGTAGCAAGATAGAGAATTCCAAATAATGTGGACTAAACGTGATATATAGAACTGCAGAACTCTTTCACTCAGATCCTTTTCCATGTGGAAATAATCAAGAGATCTAAGTGTTTGTTAATGTAATCCGAAAAGCAATTTTTTCTTGAAGAAACTGAAATAGCATTTGTTTATAACAATGTATGCTACTGGGTCATTCTATAATTCGGAAATAAATAGTTTCATTAATATTCACTTCATGATGATGCTGCTGTCTGTTGTTTCATATGCATTAGCAACATTGAGAGTTCCAAAAAATGTGGACTAAACAAGAAAATTGAACTGCAAAACTCTTTTAGTTCGATCCGTTCAAGTAGAATTAACCAAGTTTGCTTACCCAGACATTGAAGTGTTAGCTAATGTAATACTAAAGCAATTTTTCCTTGACAAACTGAATTAGCATTTGTTTATATATATAGAGGATCAGTCATGGCACTTTATGCGAAGATTTACTGAAGTAGTATAACGTTGTATGCTACTATATCCTTTTGTAATTCGCAATAGTTTTGAGGAAGACGATAGAATTAATGTTATTTTTCAGCACATTTTTATGATTCTTACACAATTTTATTGTAACTACTGCAACCACCAGGAATCTGTGAAGACCAAGCATCCTCAACTTCACTATGAATCAAAAATTTATGTACTTCTCCAAGGAGGATGTGAGTCTCTCCCTCTCTCTCACGAGTGTGTATGTACATTCGAGAAAAAGTAAAAAGAAGTGGTAAATAAGTGGGGATGCATTTTGATTGAATATAATTTCTATGATATAATGCTCTAAGAGACGGTTTCCAGAAATTTCTATTTCAGAGTTTCAAATTGAGCACTGCCTTTCTGACATTTGTTCATCAGTTGTTACATAATTTCTTTGAGACCAATTTGAAAATTAAATGAAAATTACGTAATATCTTGCTTTTATTGCTTTACACTCCAAAAAGGTAAGACTAGCAAATCCAGCGCTTCCCCTGGAAAGAGGAGATTAATTTGAAAATCAAATTAAAATATTGGTGACTTATATGCAAATCCACTTCTTCCACTTAGAAGAGGAGTTCCTATCACGTTGCCGCCTCCCTTAAAACAACAAACTAACCCTATAAATTCAATGAATTTTGTGTAGGTTACATGGATTATTATCTATGACTTTGTCCATTTCATTGCTAACTCTGCTGGATGATCTAAAACAACTAGATATATTGCTACCATCACATGCCACATTAGTTTTGATCTACACTCCATCTTCTGGTGCGTTTTACCCAATGTTTAAAAAGGATCAATTGGATATCGAGGCTGTGTAGGCAAAATTTAAGCCATTAGACAAACCAATACAATAAATAAAAGGAATATAAAATTTAAAAAAATTCTCATAATAAACCATAAATTATCTTTAAAATGTATAATAAAATAAATTAATAAAACTAAGAGTCTAACCTGTAAACAAACGTAAAATAAATCTATGAAATAGAAAATAAGTTTTCGAAAATAAGTCATATTTAAGATGTTTAATCATTTAATTTACATCTAGAACCTATCATCAATAAGGATAAATAGCATTGCTAGTATCATCGCGAATTTGATTCCCTATCATCATCAACACTGACAGTTTCTTCTTGCTCAACATTATCCTCCACTAGTATGGTGCCTTCTCCTTCCTCTTCCCCTTCCATGTAAAAATTGAAAAAGGAAAATGAAAAGATTTGAAAACTTTCTAGATTCTTATTTATGTTGTTATCCATTTTAGCACAATCCATCTTAGGATTCCCGTTCATCTTATATACATTTTGCCTTTTAACAATATTCGGTACCATAAAATATAGCAAGTCTAATCATCCTTTTGTATATTGGCGTTTTAACTTTTTAGTGATTTTCCTTCCACCCAGGATTCATGTAACACTTTCATTTCATCCAACTTGATCTACTCCTACGATAACATTCTTTTCAATTCCTCATTCCTGGATAGTAATTGAACATATATATCTAAAATGATTATATTTGGAGATAACATGATCCTATGGAGTAACTCTATTATTTTTGTGATCCTTAATATTTCTAAATTGGCATTGCTTGTATTTTGTCGTAGTTCTACTTGATGAACCTTTAGATTGCAAATAAGTGCTCCAAAGTTCTAACTTACAATTTAACCCCTTTTTAGTCACTCAACACGTATGCACACCAGGCATGAGAAGTTGAATTGCAAAGTTAGCAATGTTCATGAATTCATGAGATATGAGATCTAGTGTCCATATTTATTCATATAATTAATATAAACTGATGGATTTTAGAAATCCATTGTTTTATGGAATTATGAATACAAAATTTGGTTCACATTTTCTGACTCATTAATCACAATGTCTTTTGGCTTCTCTTCTTGTAGCGGGAATTCCCAACCTGAAATGGTTTGGAAGTGAGGGAGAGTATAATGTCTTGGTTATCGACCTTCTTGGACCAAGTCTGGAAGATCTCTTCAACTATTGCAACAGGAAGTTCTCCTTGAAAACAGTATTAATGCTTGCAGATCAATTAGTGAGTATTTTACAATTCAATGAAGTCTATCCTAAAGCTTTTAGTTTTTAAGTTGCTATTAAGTAACTTGTGATTCCCTTTAGATTAATAGAGTGGAATACATGCATTCAAGA